CTTTATCTGCAGCGCATGGAGGTGAGCGGAGGGGGCCTCATCCTCTGACCCCCCCCAGGAATAAAGGCTGGATCCTACAGAGCATGGTGTGGATTTGGGGGTGGGGGGGAATTGGAAGGAAACTGAGGAACTTGGGGGGATTTGGGGAAGGGTTGGGGGGATTTGAGTGGGAATTGAGGGAGATTTGGGGGATTTAGGAGGATTGGGGGGGTTGGGGGGTATTTGGGGACAATTTGGGAGGGTTTGGTGTTGTGACAAACAAAGGAGGCAGCGGGGGTGGGAGAAGAGTTTATTGGGGGGGGTTCTGGGTGCACTGGGATTCACAGTGGGAGCACTGGTGCCATACTGGGAGCACTGGTGTTGTACTAGGAGGGCCCTCAGTATACTGGGATCCATACTGGGAGCACCCTCAATGTGCTAGGATCCATACTGGGATCACTGGTAGTGTACTGGGAGCGCTGGGAGGGCCTTCAGTGTACAGGGATCCATACTGGGAGCACTGGTGCCGTAGTGGGAGCACTGGGATCCATACTGGGAGCACTGGTCCCATGGTGCTTACTGGTCCTTACTGGTGCGGTCCCCCCCCCGCACCAGCAGCACCGGTCCCAGTCCCTCTGTCAGCACCTCCAGGAATTCCACATCTGTGCCGTTAAGGAACCAAAATCCCCTTTTTTGGCCTCATTTCCTCCTCCCCCTTCTTACCCCCCTCCCGTTGCCATGGTTACCGTTGCCATGGATACAGTCCTGCCGCCCCCACCCCTACGCTCCCAGTTGCCGTAGCTACGGTTGCTACGGTTGCCACGGCTCCGGCTCCCCTCAGCCCTATGGTCCCTGTTGCCATGGTAACGGTCGCCATGGTAACGGTCGCCATGGATACAGTTGTCATCCCGTGGCCGCGGTGGCGGCGGCGGTGCGGGCAGATCGAGGAGGACGAGGCGCGATGCCGCCGATCGCCGCACGATGGCGTCATTGAGCCGCTCCGCTGCGTGCATGCGGCGCACGTTGGCCCTGCACCAGTATAGACCAGTATGGACCAGTATAAACCAGTATGGACCGGTATGGTCCAACCCAGCATCTCCCAGTAACACCCAGTTTCCCATCTCTCATCCCAGTATATCCCAATATGGCCCAATATCCTTTCTATTCCCTCCCAGTGCCCCCAGTATATCCCAGTCCCCCTCCCATCTCCTCTCCCAGTCCCTCCCAGTATATCCCAGTCCCTCCCAGTACCCCCCAATATTCCTCCCAGTCCCTCCCATCTCTTCTCTCAGTCTCTCCCAGTCCCTCCTATCTCCCCTCCCAGTATATCCCAGTTCCGGTGTCCCCATCTCCCCTCCCAGTCCCTCCCATTCCTTCCCAGTTCCTCCCAGTACCCCCCAATATCCCTCCCAGTCCCTCCCAGTGCCCCCATTGTGACTCACGGACACGGTCCCATCACTTTGGCCCCGCTCCCCCCCACCTCCTCCTCCTCGCCGCCGCTCTGCGATGCCTGCGATGGGGCGGAGCTTCCTTGCCGTGCCTGAAAAATGACGTCACAGCCCCCCCCCACAGCTCAGCCGAAGCCCCGCCCAACCCCCCACCCCCGCGACGATGACGTCACGGCGCTGATGACGTCACGACGACGCCACGCACAGAGAGCCTCATCTGGCGCAGCATCTGCGAGCGCTGCTCCATCATCAGCGTCCGCTCGTAGGTGTAGGCGGACACGGCGCTGTCGTGCTGAAGGGGGGGGGTGATGACGTCACGACGAGGGCGATGACGTCACGACGAGGGCGGCGATGACGTCACTGCCGCGCTTCTCTTACCAATTCCACCACCTCGGTGCTGGCCGGGAGCCGAAGGCGCCGCGCGAAGGATTCCAGCAGGCGCCTCAGAGCCACGCTGTTGTCCTCCAGCAGCGCCACCGTGAACAGCCGCACCGGGCAGCCCCGCCACGACTGAGCGAGGAGGCATCCCATAATATTAGCAGCGCCCGTAGTAACGGCCCGGAGACATCCCATAATAACAGGGGGGAAACCCCATAAACGTCCCGGCCCCATAGAAACCGCCCCATAGGGGGGAGCACACAGGGAGCACCCCACAGCCCCCAACCTGACCCCATAGGACCTCCCAGACCCCATAGGGTCCCCACAGGTCCCCCCAGGCCCCCATAGGACCCCCCAGACCTCATAGGACCCCGTAAGACCCCCCAACCCCATAAGAGGCTATTAGACCCCCCCAGGACCTTGTAAGACCCCATAAGACCTCATAGGATCCCCCAGGACCCCATAGGACACCATAAGACTCTATAAGACCCCATAAGACCCCCCAAGCACCCCATAAGACCCCCATAGGGACCCCATAGGACCCCCATAGGGCCCCACAAGACCCCACATACCGGGTGTTGGCGCAGCAGGAGGGGCAATAGGGTCAGCAGGCGCCCATCGCCCACCACCCACCACACGTCCAGGGGGGGCCCCGATGGCCCTGACCCCAAAGACGGCCCTATAGACGGCCCCATGATCAGCCCTTTGGCCACCAGCAACCCGCGGCCGTTGGACCCCGCAGCCCTCAGCAGCTCTGGAAAGGGGAAGTTATGGGGTCGGGGCTCTGGGCCCCATAACCCCATATCTCATAACCCCATACCCCCCCCAGTATCACCCCACAGGATCCCCGTAACCCCGTAAGATCCCAATATCCCCCTGTATTCCTCCATAGGACCCCAATCTCCCCCCATAGGCACCCCATGTCCCCCATAGGACTCCAATCTGCCCTCATATCCCCCATAGGAACCCAATATCACCCCCATAGGATCCCCCATATCCCCCATAGGCTCCCCATATCTCCCATAGGATTCCAATATCCCCCTTAGGATCCCCCATAGGACCCCCATAC